ACCTTCACAAACAACATACATGACACCAAACAACGGATCACATAAGTTCACAAACCACATACATGACACCAACCAACGGATCACATAAGTTCACAAACCACATACATGACACCAAACAACGGATCACATAAGTTCACAAACCACATACATGACACCAAACAACGGATCACATAAGTTCACAAACCACATACATGACACCAAACAACGGATCACATAAGTTCACAAACCACATACATGACACCAAACAACGGATCACATAAGTTCACAAACCACATACATGACACCAAACAGCGGATCACATAAGTTCACAAACCACATACATGACACCAAACAAAGGATCACATAAGTTCACAAACCCCATACATGACACCAAACAACGGATCACATAAGTTCACAAACCACATACATGACACCAAACAAAGGATCACAAAAGTTCACAAACCACATACATGACACCAAACAACGGATCACATAAGTTCACAAACCACATACATGACACCAAACAACGGATCACATAAGTTCACAAACCACATACATGACACCAAACAACGGATCACATAATTTCACAAACCACATACATGACACCAAACAACGGATCACATAATTTCACAAACCACATACATGACACCAAACAAAGGATCACATAAGTTCACAAACCACATACATGACACCAAACAAAGGATCACATAAGTTCACAAACCCCATACATGACACCAAACAACGGATCACATAATTTCACAAACCACATACATGACACCAAACAACGGATCACATAAGTTCACAAACCACATACATGACACCAAACAAAGGATCACATAATTTCACAAACCCCATACAGGACACCACATTGTTGCCGAGACCGTAGTCAGAAGAGATAGTTTGTTTAAGTCTTACATTACAATCAATGACTGATGTAATTTTAAACCGCTAAAACTGACACAAATAGTCAGTTATTGTGTACTGCTCTATACACCAAGCATCGATTAGTTCAGGTCTAGAATTTACTTAACTAAATTTATAATTCACTTTAAATGTTTTGAATAGAATTTTAAGCAAGGAAAGTATTCGGAAAAAACAAGTCGTTGACTTCATGCTCCCTGTAGATTTAGCCTACACGTCAGGAGAGTCAGGATGAGAGAATTGGCTGTGTTCTGTTGTCTGTTTTCTGTTGCTTTATTTTATTTCAGCGGGTAATAGAACTTTGTTGTTCTTGTTAGATACAGCGGAAAAACTATATATATATATATATATATATATATATATATATATATATATATATATATATATATATATATATATATATATATATATATATATATATATATATATATATATATATATATATATATATATATATATGACTTAGTAATTGAAGGGAGGGTTGCAGGAACTAGTCCACAGCTTATGTCAGCTTCATGCGCCATTTAATTTCCTAATCTTGACGCGTGTTTACCTAATGTCGGCACGTAAATTAGAAATTTTAATTTGGACTTCAGACATTGGGGAATCTGTACACCAAACGTACACAAAACGTACACACTATGTACACAGTATGTTGACAGTATAGTAGGGCAGGCCGAGAACATGTTTGCGTTATTGCAATTATATCTTTTAGGTACATATTAACAACGGTGTAGAACCTGTTTCTGTGGGCATTAATTCTGCCCTGGGCATCTTCACATTGCACGATCTCCTGATGGGTCACGTGACCGAGTTGGATTCCACCGACCACAACTGTGACGTTTTAGGAAAGTCGGGAAAAAAACATTGTGTTACTAAAAATAGAGTTTGCTGCCTCTAAAATTATGTCCTTGTATGTTTAGGAAACACGGCCGTAAAAAAATATTTGATTACATCAATATGAAATATTTTTTATGACACATCGAAATCAAACCGTATCGCGTTATTTTTTCCAAATGTGCGAATTCAATAAAATTTATAATTATGTGAGCAATCCCAGGCTACTGTAAAAAGCAACATAAATATTGCATTAGGTGGTGTCAAAGGCAAGCCTCCATGGTCCGGCCGATCAATAGCGACAATCTGGGGAGCTTGATAATAAGATTAGAACAAGACAAAGGTTATAACCGATTTATAACCGGTTTAACCTGGTTACATGCATCCCAACACCTAGGGGCGGAGGTAAGGTATTACTCATCGCGGAGGGCTCCCCGCCATTTCAAGATGTTATGTCTTATTTCTTTTATCTTAAAGTGCCAGTGTCAACATCTTTGATTTATTTAATTTGCATGATTATTTTTTTTATTTGAGCTTAATTTTTCTTTCATTAATTATTTATACATAAGTGTGATTTTTTTCATTAATTATTTATACATAAGTGTGATTTTTTTCTGGCTTATATTTCTATCCGTGGTTTTATTTATTTTTGTAGTGTGAACCCAAACTCACACATCTGAAATAATTTTATAAATTCTTCCCTTTCCTTTTCCTTAGAAACTTTTTTACAAAAGTTCTCTGTAGCATATCACTATGTTTCTAATCAAAAAGCTGCTTTTTATGCTAGTGATAATGTAATACGGTATGACCATCCGATAGAAGAAATACTTGAGATAGTTTTCGATTTAAGTTCTGAAATTAAATTCTTGGTAATCATGGTTGTGAGTTGTGAGCTAACATTCGTTTTGATGCATGTTTTGACATGTTTTTACAAAATATGATACAACATTTGCAACATATGATTGTTAGCTTTAATAAATGTTAGATTGTTTTTAAAATATGACAGATAAAAAGTAAGCCATTTTTTTTAGAAAATATTGAAAGATGGCATATTATGTTCTAAAGTATTAAGGTAATTTACAAAAATATGAAAGGAAAAAAATAAATAATGAGCAAGGGTCAGATAAAAGCAATTAATTGGCGGTGCTATTAACACAAAATCTGCAGCAATCTTTATAATTTATTAATTTCAGTTGTTTCCTTCGTTTTTTATTGATCTGATGTAATGTAGTTGTATTCTGTACTCTGGCAATATCGGATAGTAGCCACGGTTTTTAGTCGAAATTTAACGGTGGCGGAATCGTTTCATAGCCATGACTTTAACACTATAGTATCGTAACGTATCGTAGCCATAAGCTTGTGTAGAACTTAAAACAGGCAGTATCGTGTAGTAGCAATGAGTCTGTGTCGTACCTAACACTGGTAGTATCGTATCGTAGTCATGATTTTAACATAAGTAGTATCTTATTGTAGCTATATGAGTTTGTGTCGTACTTAACACTGACAGTATCGTACTGTAGCTATGAATTTGAGTGGTAACTAACACTGGTAGTATCGTATCGTTGCCATGAGTTTGCGAACCGTTCACTTCTGCTGGCTAGAAGAGGTAATAGAGAGCACGACTTGGTTGCCAGGCAACAGCAAAGTTTGATCACCCATTGTAAATGCCGCGGTAAACGAAAGAGCTCCCAAATACCCCGTTTTTGTGTGCCATCTGCTCCATTTGAAATCTCTTGCGAAACATCATCCGGCTCATTCGCTGGCTTTTATCTCTTCTGTGCCCAGCGCCTGACCATTAGCCAGCGCATGTTGGTCGATCGACATGGACCATATTGCTGGGATACTGGTCGATGGGCATGGACCATATTGCTAGGATATAATAACCCCGTGGGGTGCACCACTACACTGCTGTTGCCCTCGTCTGTTTAATTAAGGAATATCAGTTTAGACTTCATCTATTTTAGGCTTGTCACTCGGCTACAGATACGTCCCTGTTGACATGTGTAAAGTAGTAGTGTGGTTCCCCTGTAACTAGCATTCAATCATTTCCACGGTTTGGCGGTTTTATTTTCATCCTACATTTTTTTCCTACGCATCGGAGACTCGTGTATTTTTTACGTTTATTTAACGCAGCACTATAAAGATGGCGATAAGCAAGCAATTTCACAAACAAAATCTTAGAAATGACAAAAGATAGGAATACAAGGAGAGAACACAACTATAAATAGACTCTTGCGGTATTATGACCAAGCCTAAGACAGATTTACGATCTAAATTTTTTATGTTCGGGGTACTTTGAGAAAATGTTGGTTTTGTCTTTAAAAATGTGTTACATATACGCTCCTGATACTTCCCTGTATAGCCGTATATAGAAATACGCCCCCTGATGGCTGTGTATAAAGTACTGGTGAAACCCCCCTCTTTAGCCGTATATAGAAATACGCCCCCTGATGGCTGTGTATAAAGTACTGGTGAAACCCCCCTCTTTAGCCGTATATAGAGATACGCCCCTTGATAGCCGTGTATAAAGTACTGGTGAAGCTCCCCTCTTTAACCGTATATAGAGATACGCCCCCTGATGGCCGTGTATAAAGTACTGGTGAAGCTCCCCTCTTTAACCGTATATAGAGATACGCCCCCTGATGGCCGTGTATAAAGTACTGGTGAAGCGCTCCTGATCATGTCAGGATTATTTTCAGTCTCATCCTTGAATCCTCTGATTGGTTTCTGATGAATTCTGTCCCCTGATGTTTCCTCTGGGGAAATAGTTATGGCCCTTGCTCTCCAACTTCATTCCCCTTTGCTCATCATAAACGTGTGAGATTTGATAGTCTTTTCATGCTCCCCCTGCCGCGCTGTGTGACCGGTTCAATAAATCACCGTGCTAGGACTCAGCCCAAAAATTTCATTACAAGACGGCATTTCAACAAAAAAACAAAGCTTTTATTTAACCAAAAACATCCCATGTACGCTTTACCTCACCAAAACAACCTCGGCCTTATATCAACAACACAATTTATAAACAAAAACAAAGGTCTCATTTCGTCAAACCTCACCGAAAACAATCCTTTAGAGTTTTTTCATTTATATACATTTTTTTAAAGCTGTTGTCAGTTCTCATTTTATGACAAAGGCTAGACCATAAATCCTGAGTTTAAGACGCAGCGTACAGTAGTTACTTTAACATAAGGAGAGACTGTGTGGTCAGCGCGGTACCCAGTTCGGTTCTCCAGAACTTAAGGCTGGGTGGGCTCAGGGACAGAATGGGAACTAGAAACATTATTGGGTTCTGGTTAGTCGTCTGCACCCAGTACAGAAACACCAACTACAGAAACCCGTCATCACAGAAACACCCAGTACAGAAACACCCAGTACAGAAACACCTAGTACAAAAACACCCATTACAGAAACACCCAGTACAGAAACACCCAGTACAGAAACACCCAGTACAGAAATACCCAGTACAGAAACACCCAGTACAGAATCACCCAGTACAGAAACACCCAGTACAGAAACACCCAGTACAGAAACACCCAGTACAGAAACACCCAGTACAGAAACACCCAGTACAGAAACACCCAGTACCGAAATACCCAGTACAGAAACACCCAGTACAGAATCACCCAGTGCAGAAACACCCAGTACAGAAACACCCAGTACAGAAACACCCAGTACAGAAACACCCAGTACAGAATCACCCAGTACAGAAACACCCAGTACAGAAACACCCAGTACAGAAACACCCAGTACAGAAACACCCAGTACAGAAACACCCAGTACAGAAACACCCAGTACAGAAACACCCAGTACAGAAACACCCAGTACAGAAACACGCAGTACAGAAACCCCCAGTACAGAAACACCCAGTAAAAGAAACACCCAGTACAGAAACACCCATCACAAAAACACCCATCACAAAAACACCCATCACAAAAACACCCATCACAAAAACACCCATCACAGAAACACCCATCACAAAAACACCCATCACAGAAACACCCATCACAAAAACACCCATCACAGAAACACCTACAGGTCACTTTTTGCCTCGCAAAAAATCAGCCTATTAGACATGGCATTCACTTACCCCCCCCCCCCCCTTGCACCCCCACCCACACCTCACCCCCACCTCTCACTTGAAGACATCTGATTTACACATCAACTCGAGGGTTTAATTTTTTAAATTTTCAAACGGTTAAACAGGTTTTTACTATTGATCATTTTTTAGTTGTATTTTTTTTAATGCGTTCACATTTACATCATTATACCTTTAAAGCTTAGTTTTTACTTCTTCAGATTTGTTCAATTAATAGCAACTTTATGTAGAGCTGATTTTTTTTATAACTTTCGCGTTCCACAGCTCCGTGCTTGATCATGTCACATCCCTGTTTTTAATCAAATTACAACACATTTTAATGAAGAATTAATTTTTTAATTATAAAACTTGCAGATTTTACGGTCCTTTGCTGATGAAGGAAGGCGATTTTTGAATGTTTGTTGCGCCATATTAGTGGAAATGCATTAGCAGTTTGGGCTTTGTCCCGGGAATCACACAGAGGTCATGACCTTTTTCTAGGCTCCATAGTGCCGTGGGGCTGTTTGTAATTTGAATTCCACCTTCAAACCCCCTCCAGCCCACCTCTTCATCTTTAAACCACCACTGTCATTCAGCATCCGGTCACGTTTTTATACATGGCTTTAACTAACATGCCGGGTGGGAACGTGTAGCAATTAAGATTTAAGAGATTCTATGTCCGTTCTCTGGCCCGGCTGTGGTTGTTGTGTCCATCTTATCCAGCTGTATGTGTTTTTCTGTCCATCTTATCCAGCTGTATGTGTTTTTGTGTCCATCTTATCCAGCTGTATGTGTTTTTGTGTCCATCTTATCCAGCTCTATGTGACTATCTTATCCAGCCGTATGTGTTTTAGTATCCATCTTTGTGCCCATCTTATCCAGCTGTATGTGTCCATCTTATCCAGCTGTATGTGTTTTTGTGTTCATCTTATCCAGCCGTATGTGTTTTAGTATCCATCTTTGTGCCCATCTTATCCAGCTGTATGTGTCCATCTTATCCAGCTGTATGTGTTTTTGTGTTCATCTTATCCAGCTGTATGTGTCCATCTTATCCAGCTGTATGTGTTTTTGTGTCCATCTTATCCAGTTGTTTTGTGTACAAAAAATTCTGAATCTACACCCACTTGCAACCTTCTGTCGCTGCTGAATTTAAATTAATTAATTGAGTCGTCACCCAGTTATCTCCCCTTTTAGAACGGTTTAAATTATGTCCCTTTAAACGCCGGTTTGTTTCACCCGTTCATATTTCCTGTGAAATTCTGTAGAGTTCAGGTAATTTTAGCAACTTGTCTACGTGACACAGAAACTCAGGGCCAACAACTCCATTGTCCCGCCGAGCGCGCATGTGCAGTGGTGAGACTTTTAATGATGTGCTCCATTGTCCCCGCTAGAATCCACGGCCTGACGATATTGACTGTCTGGAACTCTTGGCTTGTTAATGCCAACTTTAATCTTTAAATCTGCTCTTGTCAGGTGGGGGTGTGTTAGACGCATGCCTGCCTTGTATTGAGCCAAGGCGACTTAATTATGGACATTTCCATGTTTTAATACGACATATACATATATATACATATATATATATATAAATATATATATATATTTATATATATATATATATATATATATATATATATATATATATATATATATATAAATATATATATATATATATATATATATATATATATATATATATATATATATATATATATATATATATATATATATATATATATATATATATATATATATATATATATATATATATATATATATATATATATATATATATATAAATTCGGGTCCCGAGTCTGTGTTTTTATTCGCATCTGATCGCCACAGCTGTAAACCACAACAACTCTTCACGGCGAGTTATCTTTAAGTTGTCTCCTGCGTGTCACGTGATCCGGTCTTACGCATATTGTGCAGCTAATGATCCGGAGAAGTTCCGGGTGTTGGTTTTACGACTGTGGTTACAGCCGTCGAAGAACGACTCGTGTGACGTCACTCGACAAACAAGTCTCACCAAGTTCACTAACTCGTGGCATGAAACGAGTTTATCGTCAACAGACTTTCTCCTTGTGTTTGCTCCACGTGTCATCAGTGTAACAACACACGTCTTGATAATAAAACTATATCACATTCTGTCACTCAAAGCCCTCCATCACTGACTCCATTTACCCCCCCCTCGTCTATTTATCCACTGCCCCCCAGCACTGCCCATCATCTGTTGACCTCCGTGTTACTATTTCTGCCTTATCTAATGGTCATCTTCACACTCTCCTCCCCGTCGTTATCTCTTATCTACCCTCCCATCCTCCCCATCCTCTCCACCACCCAGCTCCCATATCTCCTTGAATTGCTCCAACCTCCACGGCTTCCCCCACCTCTTCACCACCACGTCGCTCCCCTCCAACAGCACGTATCTCTTCCGACGCTACTTTATCACTGACTAGCAATAAAATCGTAAAGCTGCCCTAGTAGTGATGAGGAGATCAGTTCAGGTAAATGGCATATAAGTCCAGGTAATGCTCTTTAATGATCCCTCCAAACCAGATGCTTAAAATAGATAACAAATAAAATATAAGGAAGAAATTGAGCCATTTATATATATATATATATATATATATATATATATATATATATATATATATATATATATAGTTGGTTAGTTAGCTAGTTAGACTTAATAAAAGTCATGTCCACTGGTAGGCAGACAACACACTTTGCCAACTGTCTCACTAATGTATGCAGTAAAAGACAGCAGCTGTTTGATGAAACTCCGGCCTATGTAACAACTACCACCATTCCAACTCTTCATTACGTTGTCTAACTGATTCGCCATCTTGAAACATAAAAAAATATGACGTAATCAATGTTGCCCAGCTAAGCCTATTGAAGCCTACAGAACTTAAGTAACGAAGTACACATAAGCTATTTATTGGACGTAAGCATATTAACGTTTTACTTAATAACTCGTTCTTCTAGTGGTCGGGTCGGGAACTTGCGGGAACTATCGGCGAAGTTGAGGAACTTGGGTGGTTCTAGAACAGAAATATATGATGTCATGAGCAGAGCTGCCTAAAATTTGCCAGATAAAAGTAAAACAACCTACGTTGCCAGAAGAAACAGCATAAAAGTTGTCAGATAAAGTAACAAACGCTGCTAGATTAAAATAAACCGGGAGTGATCTCCCCTAAATTTTCTCGAATATCTATATATATATATATATATATAATTCTCTTCTGGTAGACGCTAGAAAACAAGCTGTAAACGCGCTCCCTACAATCCCCACCCCTACATGGTTTTAGTGAGCTGTGGTTCACGCTATGTTTACCTTCGTGGAGTCGGGTTTAGTGACGGCTATTAGGGGCAGATAATTTAGTTTGAAACGATTTTAAACGTTGGGGGGGGAGGAGGGGGGGAGGGTATGGTCCTTAACGAGCTACTTATAGTGTTTTAAAGAAATATTTTCAGTGTCAGCGTTGGTACTGTCGAATTCACAAATTATGAATTACTGAAAAGTAGAAAAAACAACAACTAAATAGCGGCGTATGTTATGCCGCGGGCCGGCTCGTTCTTATATAAAACAACAGGACATGGCAACTCGGGATATAGACATGATTTTAATCAATTTTTAAGTACTTAAACTTTTTAAAATAGAAGTGAATCTCGAAGAAAAAAGAAGTGCTGTGCACACCAAGTGAACGCAAAACGAAATGTGTATAAAATTGTGGAATATTATTAGTACTTTATAAATTCATATGCGTTTTTAGAGAAATCGGAAATAGCGAAAATTACTACTTCCGGTCAACGGAAATTACTAAACATTTGATAGAAGGCAGATAATTAGATCTTTTACTTACATGTGAAATTTCTTTTATCTACCTAAAATAGTACACAAGTTATAGGCTTTTGAAAGATTGAAAGTAGAATAAGTTCCAGTTCCGGTTATCGGAAATAGCTCAAAAGTTGAAAAGGATCTACGATTTTGATATAATACTTATATATGAAATTTCATCAACCTCGCTGTAACGGTACTCAAGTTATCGTGTTTACAGACACACACACACACACACATACACAAGCACAGACATACGGACAAGATTGCAAAACTATGTTTTTTTGCAAAAATCTCGATTTTTTTTTGCACGATTACAAGACTTTCTCTATACTTCGTATATACGAGAAAGTAAAAATAAAACAGAATAAAAGTTGCCAGATAAAACAACCCTTCCCGAGTTTAAAAAAAATTGGAACCCCATTCCTTAAAGACAGTGTTCAATGTTTGCTTCCAGTGACTGGGTTCAACCAATGCCACATGGCTATGGTGGGATTTGGGGTGGGCTGGGGGGGTCTGTGTGTGGTGGGTTGCGGAAATGTGAATGGGGTGGGTGGGTACAGAGGGTACGGATACCGTGATAGGTATTTGGGGACGTTAGCTACTAACCAGATTTTGAAGAGGGACGGACCAGACCAACCGCCCCAAGGGCCCGAGGGTAGCACGAAGTGTTTTTGTCTGGAGCTACTGGAGCGTCTGCCCGGGGCCGGGGCGCCACGCCGACGGGTAACGATGTATTCATTTGACGGCATGAATAACTTACACAGCGCCATCATCGATCTGAAACTAATCGCACTCCAACAAAGTCGCCGCTAAAACAATGAGCCGTCCCATTCTTTCACTCTTCATTTGTCACGTGGTACATTTAGCCATCCCAACCGTTTATTGATATCTCCCTGTAGTCAGTTTAACCCATTACAACTGTTTATTAATTTTTTTTGGCAAAGGCGTTTTACTTAATTTGTTATTAAATATTTGGCTTACCACTAAGCTAAAACAATAAGCCGTCCCATTCTTTCATTCTTCATTTGTCACGTGGTACATTTAGCCATCCAAACCGTTTATTGATATCTCCCTGTAGTCAGTTTAACCCATTACAACCGTTTATTAATTATTTTTTTTGGCAAAGGCGCTTTACTTAATTTGTTATTAAATATTTGGCTCAGCACTAAACTGGACAACATTTTCTTAATGTCTACAAGCTCTGGACTTTTGAGGTAGAGATAAATCTTGTTATAGAAAAAAAAATTGTTTTAATGTTAACATGCTCTGGACTTTGAGGTAGAGATAGATCTTGTTATAGAAAAAAAGTGTTTTTTACTAGAAGTGACAGGCCCAGTACATGTGATTAAGCTGGTTGCTAGGTAACGACAATTGTCACAATGGTGGCCTGTCTATTTTAAAATATTGTAGTGAAAAATTTTTTGATAAGATGTGACGGTTTAGTAAGTTTTGGTTTAAATGTGTCCATTTATTGAAAAGTAGAACTTTTAAATTTAGTATTATTAATAATTAATTATTAATTAATATTTTTTCGTTTGAGCAATTTTAAAATGTTTGAATTTCATCTTATCTTTGTTATATTTTATTATTTCTTTGTTCAGTAAATAAATAAAAAAATTCAGGAGACGCAGCCCATTAGATTCTCTACTCAAACCTCAATACACTGATAAAAGTTAACACATTATATCTTTTCATACAGGATCTCTCTAAAGCAATTTTTTATTCAAACCACTCATGTACAGACAGGAAAAAACTGTACGTATTTTATTTGCTTGTGCTTCATGCAAGTTTTGTTTATCTACTTCCAGACCGCGAGCTGACTGAAGTCTGTGCCGAAAGACGGGAGGAACCATGTTACAGTCTCAAGTTGCTGCTGTCGCTGTCGTGCTGCTGGCCGTCGTGCTGGCGTGCAGGGCCGAGCCGTCCACCGATGACGCCAACAACGACGAAAGTTTATCCGACCTTGGCCCTTTTGAGAGCTACAGCGACCTCGACGAGCGCATGAAGCGGCTGAATCAGTTTCTCAGAATTGGCCGGGGCGGCAACTTCGTCCGCATCGGCCGAGCCAACAGCTTTTTACGGATCGGGAAAAGTGACGGAGCCGCGGAGGATGAGCAATACGATGAGCCAGAGAAGAGGGCCTCGTCGTTCGTGAGGATTGGACGGATGCCACACATGAGCCGCTTTATCCGGATCGGTCGGGCGCAAGGCAATGATGACGTCACTGAGGCTTTCGAGAACCCGTTTGAAGAGGACAAACGAGCGTCTTCTTTTGTCCGCATCGGGAAAAGTCCGTCTAGCTTTGTCCGGATTGGTAAATCCTACTTGGATGAAAATGACTTTGAAAAGAGAGCTTCAAGCTTCGTTAGGATTGGGAGGTCAGTGCAGGAACCTCAAGAAATGAACCAATACGACGATAAAAGAGCATCATCATTCGTCAGAATCGGGAAAGCCCCTTCAAAATTTGTTAGAATCGGGAAAGCCCCATCATCGTTTGTAAGAATAGGTAAAGCGCCAACTTTTGTTTCTATGGGAAAACTGGACATGGATTCCTTAGAAAATGAGAAACGGGCCAGCAGCTTTGTCCGTATCGGTAAAAGCCCGGATGACCAGCTTTACGGACCAGAGAACGACAAGAGGGCGTCCAGCTTTGTCCGGATAGGCAAGTCTCCATCTAGTGACCAGGACGCCAGCGTGTCCGGATCAGAAATATCCGATGACAAAAGAGCGTCCAGTTTTGTCCGGATCGGTAAATCTGATCACGGCGCTGAAACTGAAGAAGAGAAGCGAGCCTCTAGTTTTGTCAGGATCGGAAAATCGGACATTTCTGCGGATAAAAAAGCTTCCAGTTTTGTGAGGATCGGTAAATCGGACAAAACCTCGCCAGCACTCACCGAGTCAATGAACCGTTACAGCGAAGATTTCAACGCCGAAGAAGAACCAATCAACATTGCCAAGAAGAGCTCGGCCTTTGTTAGAATCGGGAAAATCCCATCTTCCGCTTTCGTGAGAATCGGGAAAAACAATGGCATCGTGATGGAGCCCTCGAGTAATGGCCAGTCGTCCTTCATCAGAATAGGAAAATAAAGATTTTAAATAACTGTATCTACGAAACGTGTTTTGTCTCTTAGAAAAATAAGTTGTTTTTGCGGGAACTAAATTCTAGACAGTGTGAAACAAAAAGTTACATTCATCCTAATTGGCCCTGAAAAAAAAAGATTCGCAGTCAAAGGTTCACTTCTATGCTATGCACGGGCTTAGTTTTAAAAACTGTTTACTGACTGTAGCATCAAGCATATAAAAATTTAATTACCACTATCATGTGTTATCTTTATCTTGTGTTATACTTACAGTTACACTGTTTATTGCAGGCATAATTCAGTTCATAATTAGTATACTGTTCAATGCTCGGAGAATTCAATTTATAAAAAGTATACTAATAAATGCTGCTTAATATTCAGCTTATAAAAAGCATATTTTAATGCTGTTAAAATGCAATAAAAAGTGCAATGTGTTCTGCCTGCAGTTCACATACAAGTATGGTCTGTTACGTCATGTATACATACAGTGGTGTGGTCTACTGTGGCTTTTAGACATGTGGTGTTGCTTACAGCTTGTACAAGTATACTGTCATTTGCAATTAATTGTTGATTTAACTACTAAAAGGAAAAATATAATAAAAACACACCAAAGTAATAAATAGAAAAAAAAATCTTCAATTTGTTTGTACAAATACGTAAGGGTGTATTTCCTGTCGAACAGAATCATGGGACACTGGAGGGGGGGGGGGGGTCATAGTTGACTGAGCTCGTCATTTTATGTTGCTATTTCTCCCCCCCCCCCCTCCCCCACATACACACCATATGTTATTGTCTTTGTATAAAAAAATTAAGCGATCATCAGGCAATTTTTATGAAGTAAGAAGTATAATTGCGGTTAGGTAATCTAATATCCATCTGATTCGTTTTATAATTGTGTTAAGATTTGCCAATAATCGTTACATTATCAGAGCGTTCACAATTTTAGCCGCTCGAAACCCTAGTTCACACGACATATATAAAAAGTAAAGTGTCAACTTTACGCTGCTTGGCGTGTAGGACAGGAGAAGTAGAGTTTACCTGTTTCAGTGACATCGGCGATGTGTTAGTGTTGTCAGTTCTATGCACAGATGGGTGTAAATACTGAGTCCAGGATCCGAACTCTTGATTTTCAGGTTGCCCTTCGTATGCCGACCACGACGTCCCTTTTCATGCAGTTTGTCCATATATACATGTCACTACATTCTTATACAATTCTTTCACACCTAAGCCAAATCATCAATATATATAAAAGGCATATCACACAAGCTTATAATTGAACTATTTAGGGGGGGGGGGGAATGTCACATAAAAAATACCTTTCATCCTTATAGCGACCAACTATTTTACTATTATACCTGAAGCAAAAAAAAATACTGTTTATTTCTTATTTTAAGTGAAGTTTTAAAAATCTGATTATTGTGAAGGATTTTGTATGTTTAAATTTTAAATAAATTAAATAACCAGAAATGACACATAGTTCAAACAAGTCATGCACATAAATGAGTTAAAGACAATATGTGCTTGCATGTAAGTAAAGTTCGGTGTCAGAGACAATGGATGTTTGCATGTAGGTAAAGTTCGGTGTCAGAGACAATGGATGTTTGCATGTAGGTAAAGTTCGGTGTCAGAGACAATGGATGTTTGCATGTAGGTAAAGTTCGGTGTCAGAGACAATGGATGTTTGCATGTAGGTAAAGTTCGGTGTCAGAGACAATGGGTGCTTGCATGTAGGTAAAGTTCGGTGTCAGAGACAATAGGTGCTTGCATGTAGGTAAAGTTCGGTGTCAGAGACAATGGGTGCTTACATGTAGGTAAAGTTCGGTGTCAGAGACAATGGGTGCTTGCATGTAGGTAAAGTTCGGTGTCAGAGACAATGGGTGCTTGCATGTAGGTAAAGTTCGGTGTCAGAGACAATGGATGTTTGCATGTAGGTAAAGTTCGGTGTCAGAGACAATGGGTGCTTGCATGTAGGTAAAGTTCGGTGTCAGAGACAATGGATGTTTGCATGTAGGTAAAGTTCGGTGTCAGAGACAATGGATGTTTGCATGTAGGTAAAGTTCGGTGTCAGAGACAATGGGTGCTTGCATGTAGGTAAAGTTCGGTGTCAGAGACAATGGATGTTTGCATGTAGGTAAAGTTCGGTGTCAGAGACAATGGATGTTTGCATGTAGGTAAAGTTCGGTGTCAGAGACAATGGGTGCTTGCATGTAGGTAAAGTTAGGATACTGTGGTGAGTGCTATGTCCAGCCGTCTTTTAGGAATGTATGTGACATTTAGGAATGTATGTGACATTTAGGAGTATAAGTGACATTCAAGAACGTACGTAAGAATGTATGTGACGTTCAGGAATGTATGTGACATTCAGGAATGTATGTGTCATTCAGGAATGAATGTGACATTCAGGAATGAATGTGACATTCAGGAATGTATGTGACATTCAGGAATGAATTTGACATTCAGGAATGTATGTGACATTCAGGAATGAATGTGACAGTTAGGAGTGTACACGACATTCAAGAATGTACGTAAGAATGTTTGTGACGTTCAAAGGTGTATCTGACTTTCAGGGCTGTATGAAAAATCCACGAATGTATGTGAAAATGTATTTGACACTTAGTACTATATTTGACATACAAGGATATATCTAGCAATAAAGTTTCCGATCAGAAACACTACACAAACTACCTAGTCCAGAAATAGAGAAGAAATTAAAAATGTAAATATAAAACAACCTGTCTTTGCGATTGACAAGTGGAAAAAATATGTTGCCCTTTTTTGTTTCAGAAACTAAACATTGGTGTAACATTGATGTAACATTGATGTAACAATGGTGTAACAATGGTGTAACATTGATGTAACATTGATGTCACATTGATGTAACATTGATGTAACATTGATGTAACATTGGTGTAACATTGATGTAACATTGATGTAACATTGATGTAACATTGATGTCACATTGATGTAACAATGGTGGAACATTGATGTAACAATGGAGTATTATTGATGTAACATTGATGTAACATTGATGTAACATTGATGTAACATTGATGTAACATTGATGTAACATTGATGTCACATTGATGTCACATTGATGTAACATTGATGTAACATTGGTGTAACATTGTTGTAACTGTAAACCTTGAAATCATTCGAAATCATCATATAAGTTACCTTTGATAAAACGAGTATATCAATCTTTAAAATTACACTTAAATTAAGCATAAATTGTCATTAAAAGAGTTTATATTTCTGACTTCAGTAGAGGAGAGTTCCCGACTTCATAATAGAAGAGATTTCTTCCTCCAGAATGCCAGAATGCTCTTGAGTTGTTTTTTAATTTTCATTTTAATGTAGCTCAAATGCTTTCAACTATTGAATGAAAGATTCTCTTCATTCGCCCAAAGACGATTTAAATGAAAATGTATCAGTGCCTGGCGACAACGAAAATTGTATCGCATAGAATTATGTAAGACATGTGGCCTAATTATTTCGTTTCTCGACTATGTTTTATCCCATCAAAATACACGCAGACCTCCATTCAAACCATTTTTGATCGTGAAAAATATAAGTATATATATAAATGTGTGGCCAATTACTGGCTTAAAATGAACCCAATTGTGTACACAACGCCGGCTGATGAGCGCCATGTTAAACCAGCTGTAGACAGCCTGATAAGATAAACACTGTCTATTTGGGAGGTAAAGTTCTGCTGCTCATGGTAAACACGTGTGGGGCGGAGTGGGTGCTAATATGGATGAGGTTTTTTTTGGAGGGCGGGGTATCTTATATAGACGGACATTTGTAAAAATGGGGGGGAGGGACGAACAATTGTAAGGGATGGAGGAGGGGCTAATATGGACGAGCATTTGTGGGGTGGGGTAAGTAATATAGATGAGTATTTGTAAGGGTTGAGGTCGGGCAAATACAGACCAGCATTTGTAAGGAGTGGCGTGAAAAGACAAGCACTTAAAAGTTTGGGCGGAAGGCTAATATGGACCAGTATTAGTAAAATTAGGCGGTTGTGGTAAAGAAGTAGGCTAGTGCAGGGTAGGAGAGATGGTTACAATGGATAAATATTTATAGAGCTGGGGATTAGCTAGCATAAGGGAGCATTACCATAGGCGGAGTGGGGGTGGCTTATGTTCACGGGCATTTGTAGGGGTGGGGTGGCTTATTTTCGCGGGCATTTGTAGGGGTGGGGTGGCTTATGTTCACGGGCATTTGTAGGGGTGGGGTGGCTTATGTTCACGGGCATTTGTAGAGGTGGGGTGGCTTATGTTCACGGGCATTTGTAAGGGGGGTGGTTTATGTTCACGGGCATTTGTAGGGGTGGGGTGGCTTATGTTCACGGGCATTTGTAAGGGTGGGTGGCTTATGTTCACGGGCATTTGTAGGGGTGGGGTGGCTTATGTTCACGGACATTTGTAGGGGTGGGGTGGCTTATGTTCACGGGCATTTGTAGGGGTGGGGTGGCTTATGTTCACGGGCATTTGTAGGGGTGGGGTGGCTTATGTTCACGGGCATTTGTAGGGGTGGGGTGGCTTATGTTCACGGGCATTTGTAGGGGTGGGGTGGCTTATGTTCACGGGCATTTGTAGGGGTGGCTTATGTTCACGGGCATTTGTAGGGGTGGGGTGGCTTATGTTCACGGGCATCTGTAGGGGTGGGGTGGGTATTATGGACGGCCATTTGTAGTGGTAATATGCATCTTATGGACGGCCATTTGTAGTGGTGGGTGGATATTATGGACGGACATTTGCAGTGGTTGGTGGATATTATGGACGGACATTTGCAGTGGTGGGTGGATATTATGGACGGCCATTTGTAGTGGTAATATGCATCTTATGGACGGCCATTTGTAGTGGTGGGTGGATATTATGAACGGCCATTTGCAGTGGTGGGTGGATATTATGGACGGACATTTTCGAACTCTGCTAGAGTAAACTCCCCTTCGGTTTTTGATTTATTCGCTTCACGCCTCGTTAGCTTTCATTTAACAACGTTTTTTAGAGCGCGCGCCGTCGCTTTTTAATTATTTTTTTTCGTTCCTTTCCGCATTAATATTTTTTCGCTCTTCGTTATTCTTCTTACTTCACATCTGTCGTACACTCTGTGTACCCTGGGATTTTTAAATCCATTTTATTAATATTATTCTTAAATCTGGATAATTTTGACGTTTTTCTCAAGATCAATACTAGCACATTTTAGCGGGCATAATTTTTCTCTGGGTTTGCC